TTAGAGCCTTAAGGCTCTCTTGTTTCATTTACAATAAAAAAAAGAACCTCAGAGTAAACTGGTCACAAAGTCACCATGTGTGCCTTTATTTAGTTTTTATGTAAAGCTACATTTTTTTTTAAACATGTGAATTGTCTGGGGTCTTGTAATAACTTATTAAGATTTCACATCTAAAATTTCTTCTTTTTTTGTGACATTATTTTCACTAAATGTCACATCTAAAGCAGACGTCAATATAAAATTGCACCTACTTAAGTGACCATATGTTGGACAAATTTCATATCTATAAACTAAAGGTTTTTTGTTTATTGAATTGAAAATGGTATGAAAGGGCTTTGGCAGTTTGTTTGTTTTTTCTCTGCACTCAATGAATACTTGTTATTTTATTCGAAGACTTTTTTGTCTGATTTATAGATGACATTTTTACATCACGTTAACTTTTAGAGAAATATTGTCATCTGAATTGATATTTTTCTTTTTATTAAGAGATCAAGTCTTATTATCTGATTCCGTAATATTTGAAATTGACCAATGATAAGACAGTATTCATAGACTGGTTTTAATCATAAGTTGACTGGTCTTTCCAAAAGTTTTGTAATTCTCATGACATTATGATTGTATGATGACGCAAGAATAATGCTTCAGTTTATTAAAGGCCCATTGTGCTCAGTAATGCTTTTATTTTTATTTCTCAAAAGCTTTTTAATTTTTGTGCACTTTTATAGTTTCCAAAAGTTAATACTGATTGGTCAATCACCTATACCATTTTTTTCCATCTTTTTTCGCAAACGGTACAGTTAAAGTGATTAAGTATTTTGTATGGAAGTCAAAATATTTTGTTTACATTTTGCTACTAGTTTTATGACATATAAGTTCACATTTATCTTTACTTTCTTCAGGTTATACATTAGCATCTAACATGCTTTCAAATCAATATTTATATGTTGCCTTTTTTTTAGAAATAAAAATTTGTTCATTTCTGAGACATAATTAATGCGCCTTTAGGTGCTGTTATAATTATAATGTATTGATATATTATGGTTATGTACTTGAAATGTTTGCTTTAACCAGTAATTAGTTTTGATAAATTGATAATATATGCTGTGTTAAATTATGGATCATCTTGTTCAGAAAAATGGGCATTAAGATAGCAGTGTGTTAGGGTAGACCCCTTCATGTAATGTAATGTAATGGTTTTAATGATGGTTTTAATTGCAATTAAAGCCATGATAATGTGGATAGGAAAGTTCTTGCCGATAAGGTTTTGACCTTAAGCAGCTCAAGGTCAGTGTGCATTGTAGTGATGAATATCATGTTTGAAAAGTTCATAATTAACCCTGGCCTGCTAGTGGCACCTGACTATACTCAAGCTACCAGTAACAGACTTAGATCATTCAGCACAATCCATGCTGTCTGGTCAGGGTCTGCACTGGTCGCTATTCAATCTGTACACATTTTGAAATTTTCTCGATAAATGACAAAATGGTTTTTGTCCAGATTGAAAGATGAAAATATCCATTTAAGTTAATTAGAAACTTTGAAATATCAATAGTGAACAACCAAATCTCATATAATATACTGTTGATGATTCTATTGATTATTGTTAATGATCTCTTTATGATGGAATTACGTTACAGTAATACTATGTTACACAGTCATGTACTAATTTCATTTACTGATATTTTCTGCTAAAACTCTTGTGAAATTGTTTATAATTGAACTGTTACTAACTTAGTGATACTTGTGATAAATGATGTCAAAAAATTGGTTGTGTTGTGTTTTGTTTTGGTTTACTTATTCAAATGCCGTCCATTTTTAGCAAAATAATGATTTTTCTGGAATAATAATGGGGTAAGTAAATGATTTGAAATTTTGCATACAAGTTGTTGGTATAGACTTATATCAAATGGTATAAAAATGTTGGAAAATATTTCCAGTCTTTTGATGTCAAAAAGCCAAAGTTGTTTGTTTTGTTTGGTTTTACAGCTTACCAAAACTATTAAAGTCATATGGCATTGAAATTGAATCAGGAAAGATGATTTTGGCTAACCTCCGGTGTAACAAACTTAAAGGAACTCTAGGGGTCAAAACCATCTCATCTGCTAGAGCTAAGAGATGCATTATAAAAGTCCAATAATCCAAACCCATTTAGTCACCTCTATATGATATCTTTGGGTTAAACGGTGGCTGCTATTCTGATGCTTCAACCCATAAATGCAATCCCTCAGCGACACAGGCCAAAAAAAAGAAACCTTAGTGGAGGTCCTTAAAAACAGTGCATGCCAGAAAGATCAGAATTCTAAAATTTGTTTAAATTTATATGTTTCTTTTTTGTGTGTTAGCACCACGAGATAATAAAAACTAGAGAAGTCATGATTATAAGAGCTATCAGATGAACAGCACCCCTGACTATTCTCAATGCTTGTTAATTATACTTTAAAAGCCTTAATGTCTCTCCGGTTGCATGTCCGTCGCATTCAGTGCATTCAGCACTTTGATATCCCCTAGTTTTCTAAACTTAGAAAATAAATGATGTATCTACATGGTGATAAACAACATAACTCTGGTTGTAAAATGTTCAATGATAATTTATTATTTAAAACATGCTGTATAACAAGTGTTAAAATATTATGCATAGTTAGTATTTTTATATATACATGTATAATAGAGTAAAAGCATTAACAAATATGATACAGAGATTCTTATCATGAGAAAAAACTTAAAATCACCCTGTCTCAGTAAGTATAAATTACATATAACACATAATTTCACATTTTTTTACACTGATTAATCAGAAAAAAATCCATTTACTATGATTATTATCAATTTTCCTATTCATATTTATGTAATCAATGGATTACATGTAATTCAATAATATTCATTGCCCCAGATATTTCTGTATCGATATTGTTTAATAATTACTTCTACCACTCTTGTACAAACATATAAAGGGATATTAAAAGTCTATATAATCCATAATCTAAATTAATTCATTGTGGAATGTAAAAGTATTCTTAATGTAAATATTTAATATACATCGAAAACTATCAACTCGTATTGATCATCTAAAGGTACTGACACTTGTCCAGGTTCTGTTTTATATTAATCACATCGAAAGTGACCTTCAACGTCAGGAATTGAACCCGGGTCAACTAATTAACACGGTCCAAAGAGCTAACCACTCAGTCTTATCCTTTTATTATGCACAGGAAATTTTCTTGAATACAGTGCTTTTGCTCTTTAATTACAATGAATTAATAGTTGAAATGTCTTTTTATAGAGCCAAATATGTGACTTGTCGGCACATAGTTTATGAAAAATAGAATTTTAATTATTTATTCTTAATATAATTGTTAATGGTATCAAAATTTCTGAAAAAAGTGACAAAACTGCACCACATATTAAAAGACTCGCTTTGCTACCTAATGAACAATGCTAATCATGACCAAGAATCTTAAGTTTTAATTTTTGTGTTTTGTTTTGTTTTTTTGGAATAAAACTGGATGAATCATGAATTGAACTAATTAACAAATTTAAAAAAAAGTACAATATTTTCATATTTTATACAAACATGTATAAGACCAATAATTTGTTTTCTGCTTCAAGTCTTTAACATAAGTCTTAGCTTTATTGTGCCAGTCAGCCTAATTTACTCCTCTAAAATAGTTTAATACATAATAATTTCTTCTCTTTTATCATATAATAATGTTACTTTTAATCCAAGAGAGATTAATGTAATGTAAATAACAAAAATAACTGAATCAAATGAGCCATGTCATGACAAAACCAACATAATGCGTTTGAGACCAGCATGGATCCAGACCAGCCTGCGCATCCGCGCAGTCTGATCAGGGTCCATGCTGTTCGCTATTGGTTTCTCTACTTGTTATAGAGTTTGTAAGTGAACAGCATGGATCCTGATCAGACTGCGCAGGCTGGTCTGGATCCATGCTGGTCGCAAACCCATTATGTTGGTTTTGTCATGACACGGTTCATATTAATTAAATTTATACATTTTGGCACCAAATGGTATAATTATACAAATTTATATATACATGTTTCATGGAATAAAATGATTATTACATATGGTATTATGAATATTTCTTTGATAAGATCTAACCCCATTCCTTAACATATATGTCATAAAAAGTATATTACATGTATACATTTTTACAGTGTGATTATAATTTTCTGTTAAATGTGATTGTCAAAGATATGGAAAATTATCTATAAATTTTGATAAATACACAAAATAACTGGGACTGAACAACAGTTTCATCAAGTTATGACCTAAAATAATACAAATTAAAATATAATGCCACTCTATAAATTTACTGCATAGTTCCATGCATAGTTTAACTTTAAATGATCACATAAAACATGAGAAAACAATGCCACATTTAATATTGAATGTAATTACCAATTTATAATTTAACTATGTACATTTGTGTTCTAAAATATTCATAGTGAAAAAAGGTTGAAAAGAATTCTCTAAGCTCAAACTCAGATCTCAGGTATTTGATTGGTCAGAAACCAGCACAGAATGTTTATTGACCAATGTAGCAAATTTATGTCTTGTTTATCACTTATTGTAGATTTACAGCACATATTTATTGTAGAATCTATAGCTATCTATACTTGTTATACAATAAATAATAGCATAATTATTATTGCAGAAAAAATGATTATTAACATAGATATAAACAGACATATGTATACATCATTCCTGATTGTTTGCCAATAAACAAGTCATTATATTGGTTTTGCCAAAGCATTTTTTACGTTTTAATTGAAAAAAAAACTGGTAAAATATTTTTTAAAAAACCCAGCAAGTCTATGATTTCAAAATAACTTATCTTTCTGTAAACACTTACGGTAAGTATAGGAAATCTCTATCAAGAAGTAGCTAGAATGAAAATAATTAAAAGTAAGTCACTGCACAAAATAAGTAAACAATAATCATAATATAATCTCAAATCTTATCAAATAAATAACTGTTACTAAGCAGCATATTATCAATAAAAGAGGTATCAATGGATCTATTCTTCCTGCATCATTCTTCCCCAACACCTAATGAGAATCTCCTGTCTACACGCGCTTCTCCAACCATCTACCTATCCTGATGGTAACACTCTATTATTATTCCGGTATTTCCAGTAGTCATCGTCGTCCTCCATCAATTTCCTTTCAACGAAGGCAAACACTCCAACCGCTACAAGTAACGCGCCCATCACTGAAAATATTATCAACCGTTCGCTTCGTTTAGCAAATTTTCGCGCCAAATCTAGGTCCCCGCGCAAAATGCCCGCATGGAATTCTTTTTCACTTTTAAAAGCATAATACATTGCTGGAATGCCCAGAGGAAAGAAAATCACGACAGCTACTGTTGAAAATGCCTTTAAGATTCTAATATGTTTAAGTTTTAATGGTTTCTCCCGACTGTAATTGTTCGGGGTGTGACAGCATTCCCGAGTCCTGATCACGTGCACACCATTCGCCTGCCTTATCACAACAGGCTCGTTAACAATGTTTGACTCCCCTGTACTTGAGCTATAGTACACGGGTGTCGACGACAGAGCAACTTCTCCATTTTGATTGCATGTGTTAGCACTTCCGGTTGCGTCTTTATTTTCTGCAGAACTATTACCATCAGCGTTTCTTGTTCCTGTGTCACCACCGTTTGGTTCCCGGTTTCCTTCCACAGTCGGTGTAACATTGTCCAGTGAGACTTCGTCGTGTGGATTTGAGGCAGCGTAGTTGAGATGAGGTTGAAGTTCTCGTGCCAACTCGTCATTGTCGACTAAATGTGACACGTCCTCCTCTTTAGACATAACTGAAACACATTAACACACGTTGTATATACTGTATATGAATTACACTGATTTACATTAAAGATATACATTCAAAATTTACACGGAAACCATTTGAAGTGAGCGTTTCCCTCTTTCCTTCTATAACCAAAATCACAAATTTAATCAAGAACAAATCTCGTACGTCGTACGTTTAAATTGTTGTTCATTTTACTACGGAGTAGAAAATAAAAGCGTGCAACACAACCTAGAATATAACACCGTTAAATCACATTAATATAGGTAATTAACGTAAAGATGCAGGACCACTGACACGACTTGCATGTGCACACATATCTTACAGCAACACATTTGTTGTTCGTGTCTTGTAATTAAATTGTCACAAATGCGCTTTGTATTTGATGATTGTATGTATGTACAATGTACATAATTATATTCGTGCTGAAGACAAAAATAAATGTACCTAATGTCCATATGTCGCTTGACCATTAATAAGCTGTCCAAAATAAAGTTACTAATTTACTATCCTACTTGGGGTCGTTTGACCTTTTTTCTTCTTTATAATCTACGTTTACATCAACCAAGATAAATTATTAGTTTTATGCTCCCAGATAATACCAGCTTATTCGAGAATTGGCACTTTTTATTCTTCTACAATTTAAAACCGTTGTATACTGTAATTTCAAATCTCACGACGTTCTAAGTCAGCTTTCAAAATTTCTCACACATTTGGGAGACAAAATTAAACAGTTTGGATCACTAGTCTCCATTTTTCCGCATGAAAACTTGTCTAATAAAATCATGTGAGTAATCATGTGCAACCAAACTCTAAAATGCCGGCTGCATGGGTTGTTTATCTTTTTGATATTGAAACCTCTGGAATTAATGTTACAATTTAACAGATCCGGACTTGGAACATAGAAATAGGAAACACATATAGCCTAACGCACTAAAACACTAATTTATCAATTCATATCATAATACTAGTGATTTACCGTACATAAATAACATATACGTTTGTGAGTAACAGTAAAAATATCATCCCCAGGAGAAAAACTGTCACCCGGGGTTATATTTTTGCTGTTACTCACAAACATAGTCTGTGTTATTTATTTAATTACTCCAAACAAATACTTCACTGTTTCTATAGGTTTTTATTTTTCAGATTTTTTTTATGTGAAAAAGTACTTACAAAACTTTTGAGTCACATGGTACACTTGAATAGATTGAAACAATAATTCCCATTGTGAAACATTACCATTACAAAAATAGTAATGGGTAATAATACAAAATGAATCATTCTTGAGATTATTGATCACTACATGTACATGGTTTTATAATAATTACTTACATACATGTCTTCTATTCAATTATACTGGTTGATAAAATTATTATTAGTGAATTGACTTGCCATTCTCACATTAATTTTGTTCTTAATTTGTTGATTTGTTTTTGTATAGAGATATACTTCAAAGTTCAGTCGTGACCAAGCATACATATATGGACAAGACGTGCACAATTACGTTATTTAATGTTTTAAATAAATATACATATAAACACATATAAATATACACCATGTATATGTTGTTAGCTATATAACTAAGAGCAACTTTTCTCCCTAGTATCAGATCACAACGTCTTGCCCCTATAAATAAAAGTACCCGAATAAGGGCCTCTCCGAAACACTGACGTTATTGTAAACAACTTGTCACCTGAATTTAACGATATAGTTTTACGATTTTATACTGAAAAACAACATTTGATGAAATAAATTTATTACCTGATATAATATAGAAGTTTATTTCTCTATTGTAGATGTTCTCTTACTAAATCCGTTAAATTTATTGTGAGAAATTACATCATATATAAACCTCCATATTTAACTATTACACATGTACGTAAATAATACCTGACCGATAGACGGCGCTGTCATTGATTAAAAAAAAACTGTTCGCTCGGATGGACATATTGAGGTTCTTCTTTGCGGTTTAAAAGATGCATGTTCCCTTAATTAAAAAAAATCTTGTTACTATTTATAGTGCTTTAAACTGTCACTATTTACTGTAATTTTTATATGAGAAATTTTGTAAAAATAACAGACTTTCATTAAAAATCAGACAATTTTTTTCACGAATCCATGCAGTAACCTGCATTACGACTTTGTGTCTAAATCTTGGACATTATTAAGAAAAAAATCTTTAAGCTAAAGGTGGATTGATCTACAATGGGCACATTTTCCATAAGTCTTTAAAATATTGATGAAAACAACATAAATATATCATTTAAATATTGTTATAAATTATTACTTGAGAAAAAAGTTTATAAATTTCTAATTAAGTGAATAAGTATGAACATTTATATGACGAATAATTATATTAATATTTCGTTCCAGAACATTTAATAATCTGTTATACATAAATGTATATTAAATCGGATCATGTATACACTTGTGAACAGCCATATATGATTCCTTCATAACATTAACAAGTTTACTTGTATAAAGGTTATAGGTTATATACAGAGTTACAGACCTGCCATGAAGGACCAATTCACTTTAAAAACATGCTAATTGTCATAGTGGGTATGGAGCTCGGGCATGACAACAGCCATACTTACCCTTAACTCGCTAAAATTATCTTTGAAAGAAAAAGACTTGTAAATCTTTCAAACTGGACATAAATATTTCATCATTCAAATCTGATCTTGGTCTTTACTGGCACTCAATCGCATAGGTAGAATCAGTAACCGCCACTAGGTCAAAGGTTAAGAATTGGCAAGAGTCTACCACTATTCAGTTTCTAAAGATAATCAAAGTTGGTAAAATGTTCGTTGAAAGTCGATCTACATATATTTTTCATTTTAGCTTGTAAAACAACCATTATCGGAGAGGGACAATTCACCATACTTTCAATTCCGAGCAAGAGGGACTGATACAGTGTGGGTGGGTGTTCAAGTAGCCGATCGTCCCCATACAGGCAGTCACATACTCTAACAAATTCAATCGGTCAAGTAATTTGATCTCTACTAAATCTCGTTTTTTTAATTATTATTCATAAATGATTTCTTTTTATGACATTTACTAGAGTAGCTTGAGCGATGGTCGAGAAATAGACTTGAGTCACCGGCCGATGAAACATCTTGCTGCAGCGATGATGACCAACGTAGGTTACCTCGACAACCCTTGTTTCAGCATTTAAACATCGATAATACATGAAAAATAAAGAAGTGAGGTGAAGAAGTATAAAAATCAAAAGGCTGCAAGCTCGGTGGTATTTTCTGATTTTTGCAATCTAAATCGTACTGTATATCTGTATGTATTTTCCTGTTATAAGTTTATTTTTATATACTATAATTCACCTTGCAGGACACCGAGATGCAGCGACTACGTTATTATTTTTTACTATAACAGTTTGATACATGCGGAATTTTGTATGACTAGAGTTGCATCAAAAATCATTTACGGTATGTTTATTTTTTATGACAGCCACACTTTATCCTTTTATCCATGCAGGGTTTGTAATCCTTATTAATGTCGAGGTATTTTGTTCATGATGTTGTTTAACATTTGAACAGAACAGAACATTTATTTCTCTTGTACAACGTGTACATCGTGCACATAAATAACATATTATAACACAATTATAGTCACACAATCTATATAAAACAAAACCAATGAGTTATTAAGAGGATGATTATGGTAATATATTTTGACTCATTTGTTTATTTCTACGATTAAAAGCAATCCTACTAAATTTACAAAGTTTAACAAGAGTATCTTTTTCCTTGCAATTTAACAATTCGATGTAAATAATTTAGCGAAAATCTTCTCGCCAAAACAGTCCGACATGTATATATTCCACTACTGTCCAGTCAGATTTATTTGTGTAATACGCTCTGAGGTATTCGGTAATTGACATCGCAAAAATAGCATTTTCATTGATTAAAATCATGTTCATCTGCGTGCATTTATTGGCAATTCTATAAGCCAACGCTACTATTAATCTTTGAATGCGTTGTAATGTGTTTGATATTTGTAACAAAATAAAAATATTTCTTTCTTTTACATCGCTAGTTTTAAGCTGTTTTGAGAACTACTTCTTGTTAGGTTTGTCGTGAAACTCCTGTGTAAGAGATTGAATGTCAGCATTGTATTTGCTGATCTGCGATCAGGAAATACAAAAAACAAGTTAGTCAACTATTATTATTAATTAAGTGGATTGATATTTTTAAATAACTGAATAATTTTGGTAGTATCGACGTAAATACCCCGATGTGCTCTCAACTGAAGTCCCTTTAAAGCTCCCGTAGCAACTGAAGTCCCTTTGAAGCTCCCGTAGTTACCATTGCGTCGCAATATCCTCAATTACAGACATGTACTCATTTTAAATTGCCATGAAATAGTATTCTTCCGTTCCGCACCTCATGAAATTCTATCCGATTTTACCGGAAGAAATTTTAATTTGTCATACATGAGTAAAATAACCTAATCTGGATGAACATTTTCTTCCTGTTTGACAGAGGTGTTTTATTCTCCCCCCGTACAAATCTTCACAATTTTCTTGAAAGATTGTCAAAAAGATAAACACATTTAAAATGTAATCTAACTTTTGTCGAGTGGTTGCAAGAAGTAAACGTTCAGTCAGAAGTATTTCACATAAACGGAGTAGATAAAAGTGTATGAACATAAATCATCTGTTTGTGTTTTAACTTTACCCAAAGAAGTCTTGACGTTTCCTTCATTTTGGATTTATATATATATACATATTCTAGTTATTTTCCACAGTAAAAACCATGGATTATATTATGGTAAGTATAAACTGGGCGACGATTTTAATGATTAATTTAAGTGCTGACGTCAGAGCGTGTCCCCTAATGTTACAACGTCGGCACTCGCGTGACCCTCTTAGACCAAACCTGTCTGACCGCGTGTCCAGCCATTAATTAAGCTATTGGTATAAATTGGAACCGATTTAAAAACAGGTGTTTTAGTCGTGTTAGAACTAAGACCTTTAAATCATCCAAATACCTGAGGGAAATTAAAACAAAATATCACAAGAAAATATAGTTATATTATTATTAGTTAATATACATATATGATGTTATTTTTTCTACTCACTAATTAGTAAAACTCATAAACAGTAAACCCTGATTAAAACAGTCACCATTATAACTACTGAGTCATTATATGTATACAAGTGTGTATATATATGCGATGACTTTATAAATAAAGTTTGTTATATATGTGTTATTTATACGGTCCATTTCATTTTTGCGTAAACTTCATAGAAATTTGTTTCGCTGGAAATTTAACTGGGACTTTGTTGTACCTGTTTTTTCCCCATTCAATTGCCAAAAAATAAAATTAAAGGAAGTTTGAAATGAACAGTAAATGGGTGCCTCATTGTACCATTATGAAACACATCCCTTTTATAGGAAATGGTTAAAAACAAATTCTTCCTTTATTTAAATAAAACTTTCAATGCGATACGAAATTATTGTTTACTTAATGACTACCCCGTGAGAAATATACAAAATTTGAGCCGTGTCACGACAAAACCAACATAATGGGTTTACGACCAGCATGGATCCAGACAAGCCATCCGCGCAGTCTGATAAGGATCCATGCTGTTCGCTATTAGTTTCTCTACTTGTTATAGGGTCTGTAAGCGAACAGCATGGATCCTGATCAGACTGCGCGGATGCGCAGGCTGGTCTGGATCCATGCTGGTCGCAAACCCATTATGTTGGTTTTGTCATGACGCGGCTCAAATGTATTGTATAAGTTATAGACGGTTGTGATGAGTATTAATGTTGTAGGGAAGATATTAAATAAACCATCTTTAAAATACATTAACACGTCATGCATGGCAACGGTAATATAACCGAAATTTATTTAAAAGATATTATAGAGATCTCTAGTGGTATTCTCGAATTTTGGGGGAGAGTTGGAAATGGAAGTTTATAAGTCATTTTTGTGCTAAGACACAGATATATATCTGTATATTTAGCTTCATGGCTAAGATATTAAAACTTTAAGAATTGAAATGACTATTTGCCGACATATATATCAGTTACATATAACTGATATGTAAAAGTTACTAAACTGAAGTTTCTTAAATTAGAGCAATAGACATTTTTTTATTTCAAAGCTTATTCACTATGTTTCTATATATATCACATATTTTGTATTAAAAAGAAAATCTTTTTTTTAATTCAAATTTAAGTACACAATTATTCGGTGCGCTGAGTTTCTATTCAGGAAAGATTTATACATTGGTGATGTGGACTATTATACAAACATAGAAATAAAACTTCCGCATTGAGGTCATATATCTAAATCAATATATACAGGCCTCTTTATCAGATAGATCTGGGTGTTTTTGTAAGTATATTGAAATTTATGACAAAAAAGTTGTATTTATAAAGCGGAAGAACATGTAGATGACATATATCAACTATCAATTGATTGTACAAACAGCGGGATTTAATATCACAGACATGATCTTGTTTTCTATATCACCACCTGATTACAAAAATACTCAACTCCATCGCCGGTGCCGTAAAAAAACTACAACAACAACAAAAACAAAAAAACTACATTGTACATACAAAACAACCCCAAAATCCTGCCACACACCACACTCATAAGACCACATATACAAATAAAAAAGGAAAATAAAAAAAGAACAGAACAGAAAAAAATATGAGTGTGTCGTAGTTTCGTATAGCATGGCAAACTATACAAAGCAAAATTCACAACAATCAAGGTTGGACAGTATTATATTAAAAAAATATAATGATCGTGAATGACAAACCTGTAATATAAGAGTAATAAATCATTTATAAATCTCGCAGAGTTATTGATAGCTTTAATTATACATTCAAAACATTTATATGTATAGGTTAGTGATTGTTAGTAAACTTAAAGTTATAAATAAAGATTGTCAGGTTTTCAACCGTAAAGATTGTCAGGTTTCAACCGTAAAGATTGTCAGTTATCAGCCATAAAGATTATCAGGTTTTCAACCATAAAGATTGTCAGGTTTTCAACCATAAAAATTGCCAGGTTTTCAGCCATAAAGATTGTCAGGTTTTCAAACCTAAAGAATGTCAGGTTTCAACCGTAAAAATTGTCAGGGTTTCAACCATTCAGGTTTTCAACCATAAAGATTTTCAGGATTTTAACCATAAAGATTGTCAGTTTTTTAACCATTTCGGTGAGAATAATACAACCTCAACGTTATAAACATGAGCTGGGCATGTATAAGAGTTTTCGTCAGACTGTAACAGATTTTAATTACAGAAATGGTATAATGATTAAGATTTCTGCCTCTCAAACCAGGGACTGTGGGTTCTCGAGCCGTACCGGGGTCACAATCATGTACCCTCATATGAACCGGTACTTGTTAGTTTCAGGTATCTCCATGCTCATTTCTTGATAAATTCGTTTCATTTACTATTGAAATAGTGATTAAACTATAATTGATAATCAAAGATATTTAAAATGAAATATAAAACTACCTAAAATATAAAAAAGACTGCCACACCCTTTTTTTATAAATTGAACATTTCCGATATTTTCCGGAGGATATATAGAAGTACACGCATTCATATGGGTCACAGGGGTTATTGACTTTTCAGATGACGTTTATTATAAAATTGAAAACCAATATGGCAAATGTAAAGTTATTTGAATTTAACCTGAAAACTCTCCATTTACTCTTGGGTGGGTATAATGTCACTTTTAATGAAAATTTTATATAACTTTTGACACTGTTTCGTTTTTTTGTCTTATCTAGCTAGCCTTAAATAAAATTTAAAGGCTCATAACGCGTAAAAAATGCTATCAATTTTAATTCCAAAACGTTACTCAGTGTGCATATAAGTGATCAATGCATTTTGGCAATAAGTAGAGTTAAAGTGCTTAAGTGTTTTGTATGGAAGTCAATATACCAATTTGTTTACATTTTACTACCATTATTAACTATATTTTTAACTCACTACTGTTTTCTTCATAAAATATTCTAAATCTTTTATTTCAGCATTATACAAACTATGTTTTCCTTTCTGCAGAAAGATTTTCTTTTTAAATCTGATGTTTTATATCTAGTTAAAGTAAATAGCAAACTGAGGAAAGTAAACAATAATAAATATCTTTAAAATATTGCTTTTGCTTTTGATCGTTTTAATTGTATGTACAGAGGGTGAACTGCAATTGAAGAATCTGGCAAGATGACAATTTTACCCAATACTCCATTACATTGACAATTTTACCCAATACTCCATTACATTATTAATTTTACCCAATATTCCATTACATTATTAATTTTAACCAATATTCCATTACATTATCAATTTTACCCAATACTCCATTACATTGTAAATTTTACCCAATACTCCATTACATTATCAATTTTACCCAATACTCCATTATATTGATAATTTTACCAAATATTCCATTACATTGTAAATTTTACCCAAAACTCCATTACATTATTAATTTTACCCAATACTCCATTACATTATCAATTTTACCCAATACTCTATTACATTATCAATTTTACCCAATACTCCATTTTATTGATAATTTTACCCAATATTCCATTACATTGTAAATTTTACCCAATATTCCATTACATTGTAAATTTTACCCAATATTCCATTACATTATTAATTTTACCCAATATTCCATTACATTATTAATTTTACCCAATACTCCATTGCATCATCAATTTTACCCAATACTCCATTATATTGATAATTTTACCCAATATTCCATTACATTGTAAATTTTACCTAATATTCCATTACATTGACAATTTTACACAATACTCCATTACATTATTAATTTTACCCAATATTCTACTACATTATTTATTTTACCCAATACTCCGTTACATTATCAATTTGACCCAATACTCCATTAAATTACCAATTTTCCCAAAACTCGATTACTTTATCAATTTTACCCAATACCCAATTACATTGGCAATTTTACCCAATACTCCTTTACACTATCAATTTTACCCAATACTCCTTTACATTATCAATTTTACCCAATACTCCTTTACATTATCAATTTTACCCAATACTCCATTACATTATCAATTTTACCCAATACTCCATTACATTATCAATTTTACCCAATACCCCATTACATTATTAATTTTACCCAATACCCCATTACATTATCAATTTTACCCAATACTCCATTACATTATCAATTTTACCCAATACTCCATTACATTATCAATTTTACCCAATACTCCATTACATTATCAATTTTACCCAATAATCCATTACATTATTAATTTTACCCAATACTCCTTTACATTATCAATTTTACCCAATACTCCTTTACATTATCAATTTTACCCAATACTCCATTACATTATCAATTTTACCCAATACTCCAATATATTGATAATTTTACCCAATACTCCATTACATTGGCAATTTTACCCAATATTCCATTACATTATTAATTTTACCCAAAACTCCATTACATTATTAATTTTACCCAATACTCCATTACATTATTATTTTACCCAATACTCCATTACATTATTAATTTTACCCAATATTCCATTACATTATTAATTTTACCCAATACTCCATTATATTATCAATTTGACCTAATACTCCATTACATTATCAATTTTACCCGATACTCCATTACATTATCAATTTTACCCGATACTCCTTTCAATACTCCATTACATTACCAATTTGACCCAATACTCCATTACATTGACAATTTTACCCAATATTCCATTACATTATTAATTTTACCCAATACTCCATTACATTATTAATTTTACCCAATATATCATTACATAATTAATTTTACCCAATATTCCATTACATAATTAATTTTACCCAATATTCCATTACATTATCAATTTTACCCAATACTCCATTAAATTATCAATTTTACCCGATACTCCATTACATTATCAATTTTACCCGATACTCCATTACATTATCAATTTTACCCGATACTCCTTTCAATACTCCATTACATTACCAATTTGACCCAATACTCCATTACATTGACAATTTTACCCAATATTCCATTACATTATTAATTTTACCCAATACTCCATTACATTATTAATTTTACCCAATACTCCATTACATTATTAATTTTACCCAATACTCCATTACATTATTAATTTTACCCAATATTCCATTACATTGTAAATTTTACCCAATATTCCATTACATTATTAATTTTACCCAATACTCCATTACATTGACAATTTTACCCAATACTTCATTATATTGATAATTTTACCCAATATTCCATTACATTATCTATTTATATATGTATAAGAGTTAACAAGACAATAGTTTCACAATTGCAATTTTACATTTTTTAGAGCAAAATGGCCAAAAGCAAGTCGAAGGCGCAGAAGAAAGAGGACAACACAGGTCAGAGTATTGGATGTCCTTTCGAGGTCCATCATAATTTCCATGTCGGGTTTGACCACCTGACAGGGGATTTGAACGGTCTACCACCAGCTTGGAAAGCGTTACTGGGCAGCTCGGATATTACGTATGTTAAAATTGTAGCTTTCTTTTTCATTTTATGTTTTAAATTACTGTTTTTTTTGGAATGGGGTGTGTATGATGTTAAAGGTTTAAAATATGCGTTCTTTTCATGAATGTGAGACATGATTTGTCATTTGAGCCGCGTCATGACAAAACCAACATAATGGGTTTGCGACCAGCATGGATCCAGACCAGCATGCGCATCCGCGCAGTCTGATCAGGATCCATGCTGTTCGATATCAGTTTCTCTACTTGTTATAGGGTTTGTAAGCGAACAGCATGGATCCTGATCAGACTGCGCGTATGCGCAGGCTGGTCTGGATTCGTGCTGGTCGCAAACGCATTACGTTGGTTTTGTCATGGCGCGGCTCATTTCTTGTAGCAGAAGCCCTGAATGTTTTGGATAGCTCTACATGTTTTTCAAAGCAGCACAAAGTTTGAAAATGTATTAAAAATTTAATATTGTCAAGGTAAAAAAATGCAAAAATAGTCCTTACTTCGTTAGTCACACAGCAGAAATATGGCAGTAAATACTGCAAAATATGTCATTCATTGCATTTTACATGTAACGTGTTATTTTTCTTTAAATCTAAGTTCCTTTTTCTCACATTTGATGTTTTTAAATGTTAAGGCTTATCTGGAGACATGCAGCTTTAAAATAAATATGAGGTGTCTTAATACTCACTCACAATATAATTTGTAGATATAATTCTTCTCTCGTGATACTGTAACACGATCATGTAACGTAACGCCTAATTTCGCTATTGTAAATAATGTGTGATTCTTTTACAAAGAAAAGAGAAAGAATCATGTGAAACTAGAAAAGGAATACACGATTTTGCATGAAAAAAGGCATTTTATTTGAATTTGAACAAAAACTTCAATTTCTATTCGAACGAAATCTGCTGATTCTGCGAAAAAAACCATTACCAGGGATTGCGCAAAAAGTATAATGCGCAAAAACTGTCTATTTCACGCAGATATCATTCGCATATAAATCAAAATATTTTTGTTGGAATCAAAAATGCCGTTATCACCAACGTTTTATGGAATAATTCCTAATTTTAGATTGTATTGTAATGCAATCAGTTGCATGCAAAAACAAAGAAACATGTTGAATAGAAATTACAATCTGATGTACATCATTTTCTAAATAACGCACTGAACGTTATTCAGATTGGTACAAATAAATACTTATTTTCTTTAAAAATGTCTACAATATTAAATGTGAACCATGATATATACAAGTTTTGTATTATAGTACAGAAGAACAGAAGAGTAATCCGGAAGCTGTGATCAATTCATTGAAGACCTACAGTAGATCTATCAAACAAACGCCAGATGAACGCTACCTCAAGGTAACTATGGCAACATTAAAAACAAGAAAGAAAGTAAAAAAAAAGAAAGAAAAAAGTAACAACAAAAAGCACATAAATGGACACAACGTAATTAAAAATTGGCCGTCATAATATTCAGTTTTCCACAAAATGAGCATCATTAGTGGCATGACCACGACATGCCATGTGGTAAAAGATGACAACGCGTTCTATTTATATGTTCTGCAGCCGAGAACTTAATCTCTCAGATTTTTAGTTTCAGTGTTTTTACTGATAGTAACTGATATATATCCAATTACACGGTTATAAAGCAAACGATTGTATGAGCAGGGACGCATGTACATGTAATTGTTTTTTATGCTATCATAAATTTCAGCTGCCTATACGGTGGCACAAAGGTGACATGTGTGTGTTTTTATTTATCTGAAAATAAATTATGTTGTGACCACGATATACTACGTTTTGGCCACGAGATTATTAAGTCGTACGCACGAGTAACTATGTCGAGTAACTCGTGGCCACGACAGAGTATCTCGTACGCACGATATAAATAAAAACGCACAAATGTCACCTCTGTGCCACCGTAGATGTCAGATATTATATGAGCCGCGTCACGACAAAACCAACATAATGGGTTTGCGACCAGCATGGATCCAGACCAGCCTGCGCATCCGCGCAGTTTGATCAGGATCCATGCTGTTCGCTTACAAACCCTATTACAAGTAGAGAAACTGATAGCGAACAGCATGGATCCTGATCAGACTGCGCGGAGGCGCAGGCTGGTCTGGATCCATGCTGGTCGCAAACCCACTATGTTGGTTTTGTCGTGACGCGGCTCATATAGATAATATAAACGTCATAATTGTCCAATGAAAAGCGATTATTTGTTAATAGTCGTTCTTCATCAATATAACCAGTAGTTCTAATATTAGTGAGTTTTATTTATATTTCTCAGACAGATAAAATCTTTCAAAGAAATAGGATACGCTATTTGCTGTCACTGGGCGTATTTACTCTTACATATTTAAGATTATAAGAAAAGCCATCATAGCGATTAAGTTTTCGTCTGCTGGCGGTAAAAGAGTTCACCACTGTGACCAGTGCAGACCGAGGTCAGCAGTCTGATCCTAGACTTCACTGTTCGCCAGTCAGTACATAAGAAAAAAAAGGAAGAACGTTTTTACCGTTCAGTCCATATTGAAAGATTAACAAGTCTATATTGAGTCTGGTATTATGTAATAAACAAATGATGATGTAACTTGTAGGTTATTCACTCTGAAGGTGAACCTTTAGAGGATCAGGATGATGTAGAAACAGAAGCAGCTAAAGATGGGGCGAATAAAACAGAAGATGATTCTAAACCTGTTGATGTCACACAAGAAAATGACGAGGTATAATCTTAACTTTATAGTAATGAAAATGTTTTATACATGTAGTGTGTCCGACTCATATTTTCTGATCATGACGTCAAAAGATACAGGCCAGAGGTTGTGTCGGCCATTATGTCCTTAGTTATAAAGATTTTTGACAAGTTTTATGGCCTTATATATATACGGTTGCTTGTAAATATAACCGGAGCCATTACGGCCATATAACATGTCAGAAATATTTGTAACGAATTTACAATACAGCAAGCATCATTTTTAGAGGAATAAAGCGATATTTCTTTATAAATCGACAGTAGCCGTGTATATAAAACATCACGATTATCCAATGAAAAGCGACGTTACTAACGTGCATTTAAATGAGAGGAGACAACTAAATTACTAGTAAATGACCCCATATTCATCTTTAAAGTGTTTGAAAATGCATCATATTCGAATTCTCAAACAATGTGGTGCCTTGCATGTCTTATGTTACATATAATTATTTCAATTTTACCAATTTTTTTTACCTTCCCGTTACCAACAGAGTAAGGACTGTTTTAGCATTTTTTGACACGTTACATGTATATTTCGTGATTTATAAGCTGAAAGCATTTTTAAACCATGTCTCATTATCTGTAAAACTGTTTATTTGACAATGTATTATACAGAATTATGTAATCATATACATCAAAATAGAGTAAATATCCATATAAATCAGCGTGAATCCAGATAAACACTGTATTAAGTGTCATTTTATCGTACAAAAAAAACAACTTTACAAACATTTGATTAACACAGCAAACATTGTGAAGGTTTTTCTTCTTTTTCTTCCAATAATAATCTATATAGTCCTTTCATGTCATGCACGTTAACTTTTACAGTTGATTTTCAATTCTAGAGGCACAGTACAGGTTCTGTCAGCATATACCCATGGCCAAATATTCATTATGTTGACTTCCTGGTTAAGTGAATAAATGGTGTTCAAGTAACAATAAGTACGAACATTCTCAATTAAAAAAAGAAAAAAGTCCGAAAATGCTTCACTTAAGTAAAAGAAAAAAGTCCGAAAATGCTTCACCTAAAGAAAGAAAAAAGTCCGAAAATGCTTCACCTAAAGAAAGAAAAAAATCCAACAATGTTTCACTTTAAGAAAGAATAAAGTCCGAAAATGCTTCACTTCAGTAAAAGAAAACATTTCGGAAATGTTTCACCTAAAGAAAGAAAAAAGTCCAAAAATGTTTCACCTAAGGAAAGAAAAAAGCAAAAACTGTTTCACTTAAATAAAGAAAAAAGTCCGAAAATGCTTCACTTAAGTAAAAGAAAAAAGTTCAAAAATGCTAAGAAAAAAGTCCAAAAATGTTTCACTTAAAGAAAGAAAAAAGTCCGAAAATGCTTCACTTAAGTAAAAGGAAAAAGTCCGAAAATGCTTCACTTAGAATAAAAGGAAGAAGTCCGAAAATGCTTCACTTAAGTAAAAAAAATAGACCATTTTATTTTAGTCACAACTTTATTTTAACACTACACCTGCAGGAACTTTTAAAGTTATTAGCCCTTACCACCAGTATATGTTCAGTGTACTCTGGTTAAGCTCCATAGTGTTGGTAGTTCAAGTTTTGTTCACATATTTTAAATTTAAAAATCTCTTTAACTTGGAATTTATTGTTCCAAATTCAAAGCTAGGTAAATCCATAACACAAATTTTAACAGGCTAACGTGAAAAAAAGACTTCTATTTTTTTCCCAAAAATTTTTACATAAATTAATAAAGGGATTTCACTTATTTATAATCAAATGAAATGTGTCACGAAAAAAACCAACAAAATTTTTGGTTTGCAAACCACAAAAAGTTTCCAAGACCACCCCCTGCGCATCCGGGGGCAGTCTGTTTCAGGATCCATGCTGGGCTTTTAAATTTTTCTTTACTAGTTTTAGGGTTTGTAAGCAAACCCGGGCAGGGATCCTGATCGGGACTTCGGGGGAAAGCGAAAGGTTTGGGTCTGGACCCCATGTGGCCCGAAAACCCATTTTTTGGGGGTTTTGGGTCGTGCACGGCCTTAAAATGAATTAGTTTTTCTGCCCTTTTAAAAAATTGGTCGGGTCGAAAAAACCCAAAAGAAGGGGTTTGGCAAAAATCAATGAAAATGAAGACAAAAAAAAGGAAGAGTCGGTTGCTACGAGACGACCAAGGGAACAAACTAAGATGACTGATGATGAAATAAATGAAGGACTTCGTAAGTTGCTATTCAAAATAACTTGACGTATTGAGTAGAGCGTAAGGTATACATTATTTTTTTTAGGTAAAAAAAATCTAGGAGAGGCGGGTATATTGCCCATGCATAAAAAGCCCCAAAAATTTGAACTAAGTAAAAATTTAAAACCCCGGAAACTAGGAGGTTAAAAATGTATATAAAGGGCCATTTCCATTTCTTAGAAAAAATTTTAATTTTAAATATTATTTTAAACCCATTAAAAGATTAAAAAAAGCTAAGAAAATAATTCAACCTTTATTTACGAAGTAGGAACCCCCCCCGGAAAGGGTTTACATGGAAAATTTGGAGTCAAAAGGAAAAGTTAAAAAGTCCGCAAAAGTTTAAATTGAAAAAGTCTCCCATGTTATTTAGTTCTGTTGTAAAAGGTGTAACAAGGACATAAACACTTAGTGTTTAGCTATTTCAATGAAAACAGTTACTTATCTGTATCTTAACTTCCAGATCGATTACTGTTAACCTTTTATAACCTTATTCATTATTATATGCCTTGGTTTTTGAATAAAATCTGAATCTGAAATCAGGATTTGAGAGTACCTTACTCGAATTCTACGAGCTTGTCTACTCGTATGTCATCTTAAATTTCTTCATTAATATTATGGCTTCTCAAAAGGTAATAATGGTTAATACAATGTAAATAACCTTTTCTAGCCTTCATATTGCATCCTCAAGTTTTTCAGTTAGATAGGTGTATGTGTCACTTTATTTTCCTCTTAACCCAGCTAGATTTACCCTGAATAAAAAGTTACAACTTCAGATTATTACTTTTAAGTTTTGAGGCGTCCACGTGGATTTTAGACAAATTGCCCCTTACCGCTGTGGTGTAATTTTGGAATTTTTCATGCGACGAAGTTATCCAGCAAGCTAATGGACCGTCGGTGGTTCTAAATAATGTGGGCATCTGAGGTCTTTACCAGTAAAGCTAGAAAGGTCGCCATATGACCTTTACAGTGTTGGTGCACTGAAAAACCCAACCAAAAGTAAAAAAAGGTTTATAATATTTCAAGTCGCCACTGTTTAACGTTTGGTAAGTCGGGGTGCACGGAGCTCCAGACCGGAATAAGTTTATAACAACAGGCTTATTACATGTATTCATATTCAGCTTTTATATCATGTAATGCAATCAAACGCACA